CATGTGACCTAAGAAACTGGTTAATTTATCTCTCAAGAGGAAAAAGTAACATAAGTAGAGAGAATGAATGATACAATGTTGTGGTCCTTTTTGTTTTTACTAAAAGGTTTAAAAATTGGTCACTTGTAAAAGAGAAGGCCAGCAAGGGTCCTGGGCAAAGTTATTATAGCAAGAGGATACCCATCATGTTGCATTTCGATGTAAACTAAATATTAAGAAAAAAGACAACTATTAAAGAGAACGGTAAAAAATATATTATTACTGGAAAATACACGGTCTGTAACATAATTTAAGGAGGTTTATTCTGAGCCAGATATGCATGAGCATGGCCCAGGAGCCACGCCCAGGCAGCCTTGAGCAAGTGCTCCCAGTGTGGTCGGGTTAGTTTGGTTTCAGACATTTTAGGGAGCTAAGAATCGCAGGTAGTATCATCAATCAATACATGGAAGGTGTACACTGGTTTGGCCTCAAAAGGTGGGACATCTTGGAGGATGGGGGGCTTACAGGTTATAAGTGGGTTAAAGATTCTTTGATTGGTAAATAGTTAAAGAAAAAAAGCTTTGTATAAAGGTTTGGAGTGCCTTAAGTTAACATAAGGAAGTCTGTTACTCAGAGACAAGCCACAATATTCAGACTCAAGTGATCTGTGAAGCAAATTGGTGGCCTCCAAGTGGCCGTAGGTCCTGTTAATAATTTAGTATCTTTTTGTCAGTCTTATGATCTTGTTTTAAAATTGAGGCTGGTCAAGAGTATCCAAACTCCAAAAGGAGCGGCTGTACGAGGCTTGTCTGGCCTCCCTGCCCTTCATGGCCAGGAACTCAGGGTTACCGTTTTCTGGAGTCCCCTTGCCCAAGAAGGAGTCTGTTCATTCTGCAGTGGGGCTTAGGGCTTTATTTTAGTTCGCAGTACTAATATAGTTTCCACCCGTACTTGAACATAGGCAAATAAAAATTAAAAAAAGAAAAAGAAAAAATCACATAGGAATTCCTAAATGCAGATTTTTCCAGTGTCCTTCAACAGGGACATTGATAGGAGATTAACAGAGATCCCTGGGGAAAGAACATGTTTTCAAATTTCTCATTTTAGGGTTATTATTTAAGTTATTTTTACATATTTAGTAATGACCAAGTTTTGAATCCATTTGGAAAGAGATGTAAAGTTTACCTACCTTTTTTATACATAAATATTGTTTAAAATTTAGAAAGAAAGCACAATAAAACTAAAAACCATCTTAACCTTACCTTCAATCGCTGTCGAAGTTTGGTGTATTTCCTGCCAGTATTTTTCCTAAATGCTTGAGTATCTTTAAAGATATTTCACTATGAGGTTTAAGTGGCTTCAAAACCAAAATACATAACGAAATATCCAGCTAGTCAGAAGTTCTAGTCATAAAACACTTTATCTGTGAGACAACATTGGCTTAAAGATACGTTTCCTTATTTGAGGACAGTAAGTTGCAGCCCCAGGCACCGAGGCCCCCTCCACGGGGCCCGGCGAGCTCCTGGGCGTGCACGGCGGTCCGCGGGGACACTCGGTCCCTGCCTTCGTGGGGTCCCCTCTAGCGGGTGGGTGACGTGGACGGGCCCAACATCCCCCAGGCAAAGCGGTCACAGGACGGGCGCCAGGTTTTAACTGGGGACGCAGGGAGAGCTCTCTGAGGAGGCGGCATGTAAACTGAGGCACCCGCGTTCTCTGAGGGACCTGAAGGCGGGTGGCCGGCGCAGCGAGGGGCGCAGGGCACGAGATGAGGCGCCGACGCGACGGGGCAGGGTCCCAGGGGCTCTTCGGACCGTGGCGGGGACCGATCGTGGCAGGGAGGGGCCGCGGGCGAGGCAGCGCGGGTGCGCAGTGCACGGCGCACGCGACCGACCGACCGCGCCAGCAGGCGCCTGGCGCCCTGGGAGCCCGGCCTCTGAGAGGCTGGAGGCGCCACTTTCCAAGCTGAGAAGAGGGAGGCTTTTTTTTTAGGGAGGACCTGTTACATTTAGGTGTCTGTGAAGTAGCCAAGTGGACAGGCAGGTGTGCGGATCCAGAGGTCAAACGGGACTGGTGCTGAGAACGTCATTTGGGAGATGCTGGCACAGGGTGGTGCTTCAAGCCACGGGGATGCATAAACTCGCCTGGGAAGAGGGTCTTGAGAGCGGCGGGCACGGCTGCTCCCCAAGCGCAGAGGTGAACGCAGCAGAGGGCCCGGGCTCCGGCAAGGTTTTTAAAAACAGGCTTAAAAATGCAATAAAAAGGAAAAGCTCTACCCCCTCACCCCAGTCTCTGTAGTCGGCCCACCTGCCCAGCTGCTCCGTGACTGTCTATCAGGGATAACACGCGCAGGCAAACTGCTCTTGACTCGCACATTGACCTTTCTGCATGACAGTAATTTAAAATTATTCTACTAAAATGCTGTTACCGTCGAAAGTACCATTCTTCTCATGTGGTAGACTGCTTGCGTTTAAACTGACCAAGACATCTTTTATCAACCGTTTCTAATACAAGCTTAGTTATGTAATTATTTTTCTTTTAGATGTAACAGTGAAGAAGTCTGGAAGAACTTTAGAATTTTCCAGAATAAATATGCTTTTGATACAAAAAGAGAGGAATAACCATTTACAAAAGCTGCTAGCTTTCCACCAAAATGCAGCCCAACAGAAATGCACAAAGAGAAGACAGAGAGCATTTTCCTAAACTTAACTGAAGTAAAAAAAAAAAATGACTTAAACTGAATTTTCATATAGCACATTATTATCGTCAGACTTTGCCTACAGCTGACACTACGTTGAAGCAATTATCTGGTGAATTGAATTACAATAATTTATGTTTTTTAAAAAACCCTTGACTCTGGAATATTGTTCTGAAAACAAACCTTTTTCTTTTTTTGCTATTAATCTATTAACACAGATCACAGAGCTCAAACAACTAATTCTCCACTTTAATCTCTCATGTAGCCTTAACTTTAAAGAGAGGAAGAACAGAACAAAAAGCAAATCTCCTTCAGGTGCGGTTCACGTTCTATCCTGGAGAATGAGGCGAACGCCACCTCCTTTCACACTGAAATGAAAACTCAGTGACAGCTGAAAACAGAAAGTCCCTTCTCCGAGTGTGCCGTAAAGGAACTCGGGCCCGTCTCCGCGGTGGTCTCCTGCGCAGAGCCCACTCGCCCCAGGAGGGCTGCGGTCGGGACGTGACCGCTAAGCTGCCAGGAGGCAGAACTGGAGCTCGCGCAGAGCCGCGACTGGGAGGCTCACCAGGCACTGGCGAGCGAGCCCCACTTTGGGGGAAGAGGTTCTCCTTTCTCAGACGGTGGGAAGGTCCTGGTTGCCGTCGAGAACCGGTATCGCCGAGTCACCCCATCTGCCAGGTGTTGCACTGCCATGGGGTTCACAACGCGAGGAGCCTGTTACCAAGCAAGTTGAGACAATGAGATGCACCGGGTGTCCCGTCTCACGTCGGATTTGGGGATCACGCCAGTCGGTGGGGTGGCTGTCACGTACTAGCAAGGCTGGGAGCACCTGAAATAGTGACAGCGCCTCGTCTTTGCTATGTGCGTTTAGAACACCGTTACTGAAACCGCTAAATAGTTGACTAAAACCAAAGACTGGAATCCAAAATGAGAAACAGAAAATGTTAAAAGAAAGGTTTGTTACGGAGTCACTGAGAATGGAAATGTGAGGCCAATCCCCACACAGCGCCTGGGGCACACAGAACCCGAGTCCCTTCCCACGCGGATACATTAAGGATAACGCTTTCCTCACCTTTTTTTAAAACCATTTCTTAGACATGCGATAAACTCAGGTTTTTTTCTTTCATAATAGGTACTAAAATTTTTCAAATACATAAACAGCTTTTGATCTTACCAGCCACCAGTTGCTAGACATCTCTAAATCTGTTTCCTCATTTATGAAAAGATTACATGTGTCCTGCCCAATTTTAAAAATGAGTCTAACCCTAAATTGGGAAATGTAAATGGAAGTGTTTTTAAAACAAAATAAGCCATTATGAAATGTATTACTGTTTTAAGCCAGTGGTCTCAAAGTGAGTTATGGAAACCCCTGAGGATTCAGGGGCCTGTTAGGGGTGTACGAGGTGAAAACTAATTTTAGGATTAGGACATTATTTGCATTTTTTACTCTGAGTTTCTGGTGAATAAACAGTGGCGTTTCCAGAGGCCCTGTGATGTGTGGTGATGCTCTCACTCCGACAGCTAAATGGAAAGTGTGTTTGTATGTTGTATTTTAAGCATTTATTTTAATTTCAAATATAGGAAACATCAATAAATGTGACCTCGCTGATTAAAAAAATGCTCTTTGGGGTTGCCAATAATTTTTAAGGATGAAAAGGGACCTTGAGACCAAAAGGTACAGCCACTGTTTTAAACTGGCATTTCTCCAGGCAGAACTCCAGGGAACGTGAGGCGCCAGGTACAAACCAGCCAACCGGCCCGGAAGGTGGGCTCAGAACCCAGACACACTTAGTCCTGGATTCTGGGCCTGCGAGTCTCCAGGATCACAGGCAAACGCGCAGTGAGGGCCACAGCGGCCTGCGACTTGGGAGAGCCGGCCTGGTCCACTCCCTGGGCAGGGTCTGCAGGCCTGGCCTGCGCGTCTTTGCTGGATAAAGTCTTACTGGAACGTGGTCTCGCCCACCGTCCGTGTGCTGTCAAAGGTGCCTTCTCACTGCCACGGTGGAGGCGAGAGGTCGCGGCAGACTCCACGTGGCCTCCAACGCCCCAGATGCTTACCATCCACCCGGTTTGCCCACCGGGTGGCCTGGGCTTTGCTCACCCGGGCAAGGCCTTCCCTCCCGCTCCCCTCGCAGTTTGGAGCCAGGGAGTCGAGTGACAGCACAGCGGTACCACGAACTGATTCCACATCCAACAGTCACAGGCTTTTTAATGACAAGTGATGGATTCTTAGGGTTTTGATAAATACAAATACTTCACAATAACAAGGAATGGATATAATCAGCAAAATATTCAGGTAATTGAAGCCACATTTTAAAAAGCAATATTTTATTACGTAAAGTCCTATATAGGAAAAGTGCCATAACTTTAGGACTTAAAATTCACAGCAACAAAATTTTTATTTAATGAACAGCTGAAAGCGCAGTGCCAAAAATACAGTAACATTTAAAAATCTCACTGCAGAGAATATGCATAATACCCCATACTACATAATGTGCAGTTTCAGAACGCCACTCTCAATTATTTAAAAATAAAGTGCCTAAAGCTCAAAAAGACAGGCTCTAGATGCTGTACCTCAGTTACTTCTTTCCCAAATAAAGGCAACTGCTGTTATCTCGGCAAACCCTTAAACCACAAAGGTCACGAATGAGGGGCACGTCCACCAAGAGAGGAGAAGCCGTCTCCGCCCCGTCCGCCAGGCTGCCGAGGGCAGAAACTCAGCTGTGGGGCTGATGGTGCTGAGGCCGTCGGAGGGGTGGAGCAGTCGGCTTTGCAGAAGTGGCCGGACCACAGCGGTTACCACAGAACCAGACCTGCCCGATGAAACGCAGATTCTGACAGACCATTTGCTCAAACATGGTGAAGCCCAAGCGGACGCTGTTCTCACAACACACTGAAGTGCTTCAGAATTCACACTAATGCGGTGTTCATTTTCTTCCGTGTTTTATTTCCATATTTTCCTACTCTCCAATGGAAATCATTTTCTATTTTAGCTAAATCATAAATACTAGTTTATACGAGAAATGGCAAAATCTGTGAAAATTCTGCTCAATTTAAAAAAGACCACTTCTCTCTTAGGAATGGTTTCTAGAAGTTTCTATGTCACCCTCTATATTTCTGGCTCCTACCTTCCTTCTAGGGAGTGAATTCACCTTTCAGGTTACCCTCCAGGGTAATTTACACACTTCCGGGACGCCTTTCTCATCACTCACCCGCGTCACCAGGAGGCGCACACAGCTCACTCTGCCTCTTCCCCCCGCGCAGGACCAGCCCCTGTCGTGTCTTCCACCTCCGTCTTCCCACCACGTCCCTCCTCGGGGGGTCGGGGGCCCAGGGCTGGCCCGTCCTGTGCGAGTGGACAGAAGGGCGGGTTACTCTCCCCAGGGCTGGCAAGGCTGGGGGCCAACACCTTTCCGTACTTCTAGGGCCTGATGATGCGAATGTCTAAAGAACATCAATCTTGCAGCTAAAAATCAGCCCTTTTCACAGGAATAATCCACGTGGAAACTGCTTATTACTAACACTAACTATCTAACACTAAACTAACACTACTAACACTAACTATCTCAGAAATCAGGCATTGTGAGGAAAAAAAAAGCCATAAAAAGCAAGTTAATATTTAAAAGAACTTGCTGGTTTTCTGTGACACTGTTATTGTTCAAATCAAGAGCACTGTGGAAATAGTACAACCATGGTATTGTCCTCCCAGCTGGAGGGATGAAGACTCAGACGTGTTCATCTCAGTTCTTGAGTCTGAAAATGAGGCCCGGACCTTGGCTGTTGGATCTGTGGGCTGAACCGTTAGCATCAGTGACAGCAGTTTCCATGCGGATCGTCCCCGCCCCCATCTAACAGGGGGAGCTGCCAGCTGTCCTTTCCTTAGAAAACACCAACCTGCCCTTTGATCGGACTCAGCAGAGGAAGAGCAACAGCCAGGGGAGCAGACAGTGACTGAGTCAGCAGCAAGGCTGACAGCTCCTCCCAGCAGCAAACGGGGCCTGCGGGGGCAGAGCCCAGTCTCAGACGCCTTCTCCTCCTCCTCCGCACAGCTCCCTCCACCCGCTGAGTGGCAGCCTTGGCCTCCAAAGGCCACCACGGGGAGCCCAGGCGTGGGCTGCAAGGACGACTGATGTGGGCAGGTCCCACCCGCTCACCTGTACCCACTCCTGGACTCCTGGACTGAGTGTGGAAGCCCCAGCAGGTCATTGTCAGGGGGTTTAACTTAATTTTCTTTTCCTTAAAATGGGAAGAGCAGGGGAAGGGCTCAGCAGCCCCAGGCATCTGGACCCTTCTGGGTGGGCAGAGGTGCAGGCTGCCTGCAGCCAACACACACAGCGTGGTTCCTCACCAAGCAACTAACACCTGTGTGTACAGGCGGAGCATGAATTCTGATCCCACAGGTACATCGCACCCTGCCAGGTCTCAGAGGAGAGGGGCTATCACACACAGAGCACCTCGGTACCAGCGCAGGACTGTCAGATTTAACAAAGAGAGGGCGAGTCATTGTGCATTCCCCCACCTCGAGCTGTGCAAACACCAAATCATTCACAGCTGCAAAAATAAAAAGACAATTGAAAAACAAGTGCTCGTGTGAATAATCCTCCCACCAAGAAGACCCATGCTGGAGTGTGTGGACCCTGAGGCTGCGGTATTAGCAGCCGAGAAATCTCTGGAGTGCTGCAGGGGAGATGAGTCAAGGTCGAGCTTGAAAAGGCCGTTCTCTGCCTTTCTGCCTCACCTTCGCTGCAACGTTTTAAAAATGAACATTACTGACACATGAGGCTGAGGAGGCAGGCCGATCTCAACGGTCACAGACAAAGTCCTCAGGCCCCAAAGCCACTCTCTTCGTGTACTTTATTCACTCTTTGTTTTTACTCCTGCACCTCCAGGAGCTAATAAGAGTGCGGGTTGGTGTTTTCGAAAAGGAAGACAGTTCGCAGTTCCCCACTGTTAGATGGAGACAGGAATAATCCACGTGGAAACTGCTTATTACTAACACTAATAACGGTTTTCGTTCACATAGAAAGCATTCTTGGAACGACAAAATCACAGAGGTAGAGCGGACAGTGGCCAGCGGGTCAGGGACGGAGAGGGGGACTGTGAGCTGGGCCCGGGGCAGCCCTCCAGGTGCAGGGGGCCTGGCTGAGCCTGGTGGGGGCCTGGCCCTGGACGGAGACAACACCACCCACAAGGCTGCTTTGGGAAAGTGTGATCCCAACAAAAACTGACTTCAAGCTTCTAAAGGAAAAGCTGTGTTTGGGCTAAGTGGGTTCACTGTGCAGAACTAACTTACGGGTGTTTATGAGCCATCTGATTATTCATTAATAATCAGAATGCTGTTAATAATGTCAAAGAAAGCTCAGTAGTATTTTCCTTACTGTCTTAAGGGTGAGTGTGAACTTACCTTATTCTCAGGCAAATGGTGTAAATGTGCTAGTTTTATACTAAATAAAAACTTCCTTTTCCTGGTGAAAAATAACTGATTCTCTGGGAAAAAACGATGGTTGGTTTCACTTTAGGATTTGACTTTCAGGAATAATTGCTCTGGTAAATGCTGACCCTCAAAGCGGTAGGCTCCCCCTCACACCACAGGGCGCAATTCCCAACACGACGCCTGGGTTCATAAAGACCTTATTTCCCGGATGCTCCTTGCGGGGTGCCAGGCTGTCCTCACACCTCTGCCCTCTTCCCGTCCTTGCCGTGGCCTCCCCGGGGGCGCCGCTGTCCTGGCCGCCCTTCTTCCCTCCGTCCGGGGCAGACCCTCTCCCCCATCTCGGCTCAGCGTCAGTCCTCCTGGGAAGCCCGCCCGGCTCGCAGTGAGCCCTGTGCTTTCTGTCATCCGCGTGGCATCGCTGTGCTTCAGGTTCTTTTTCTCGAGATCTTCTCTCCATGTCCCTGTGCTCTCTGTCACTGTCATTTTGCGACCTGTGATTCAACACAAATGATCAGAGACCTTACGTAAGCTGCTCATCGATACCTGTCTTCCCTTCTAGACTGTGAGCTCCCAAAAGGCAGGGAAGGCGTAAGTCGTGCTCAGTGCTGCGGTACTGGGTCTGCGCAGTGACGGTGCCTCGCAGGCATTCGATAGAAAACTGTGGAAAAGGTGAATAAATGAACAGTAATGGCAAAATAGCATTTGCCACTATGCTTGAGTGACAGCTAAGCCTTACTGCTAAGGTACTTTATGTACTTATTTTTCTAATTCTCAATAACCTTCCAAAGTAAATACAATCCACGCCCCCCCCCCTTTTTTGACAGATAAAGTAAATGAGACTAAAAGGGGCTGAGTGACTGTTCTGGGAGCCCAGGTCCATCCACCATGACGCGTCCCTGGTACTGACAGCTTAATTTTCTGCTGTAAACATTGCTAAAGTTAACCGAAATTTAATAATGCTAGATTAATTATATTCATGCACACACTAAGATATTACATGAATAGTAAATAAATAAACGGCTGCTTAGCTCATCTGGTTCTTAAAGTCTTTCCCTCCACAAGCTGTGGGTGAAAGTCCTCGCCCCGTGCGTGGCGCACCCACCGCAGGAGTAGCTGGGCAAAGTAGGGGTCGTGCCAGAAATATGGCCGCAGGCCCTGCTGTGTCATAAATAACAATAACAAAAACGCCTATAACATAAACACAGTGCTGAAAGGTCATGGATTTGATAATAAGATGTAAATTAATTTTACAAAGCAACCGAATAAACCAAAACCCCCCAAAAGAGGGAAAAATACTTTTTCAACAACTCTGTAAGAAAGGCGGTAAGAAATCATTCAGGTCACTGTGATTCTGGGAAATTGGCAGCCTGACCCCACGACCTCACCACCTGCCCTCCCAACTAAAATCCACTCCCACCACCCAGTGAGCAAAGCGGCCCAAGTACCGGGGCACTGAGGGCGTCCAGCGCAGCAGTGGGCAGGAGCCCCAGTCAGAGGGCAGCACTGATGGCCCCACGGGCTCCCTCTGTCCCGCGGGGTCTGCCCATCTCAGGTGAGCTCCCTCTAAAGAAATGCTCCGCAAGCAGCAGAGGGGGAAGGGAGACCCAAAGGGGCATGGGACCGACACAGCCGGTCAGCGTGTGCACATGTGTACGTGTGTGTGTGCCCAGCGTACACAACAGAATGACAGAGCTTAAAACTTAAAATTCTCTACCACAAAAGACCTGCCAGCCCTAAAAGACAGATTCTCTGCAGACAAACTGAAGGATGCTGGACGAGCAAACAGGTGAGCAAAACACAGGGAAAGTGGCAAAGCAGTGAAAATCACCACACAGCCTGGGCAGACCGACCCTGAGGACCGAACACCAGAAACAGGGTCCAAGGGGAAGGCTTCAGGGAGGAAGAGGATGAAAGGGCAACAGCTATGCCAACAACAGAAGGAAATGTCCCTGATTTGAAGACTTGAAACTGCAGACTCAACAGGTTCGCCCAGCTCCTGGCTAAACTCCCGGATTCCGAGAACAGCGCGAGGTACACACACTCACGCTGACGAAGGACACGTCACCACCACCCGATGCTGCCACGGGCACAAGAACAAATGCTCACTTCGCCCTGAGCTTCTCCAGCCGGCTCTCCAGGGGTCTGGCTCTCACGACCACACAGGTTTCCCATCTTCCTTCTCCAAAATCAACCTCCTCTCCTCTTTCTTTTGGCTTCTCTGTGGTTGGCTCCTCTCCCTTTTCCGGTTTCTTAAGAAGCTGAGAAATTATAATGTTAGTAAAATATTACCTCGACCATATTATAAAAGAAGTTGTTGAATAAATAATTAAACATATAAACCAATATTGAGCCCAAATGATTGAACAGCAAAAGAATGTAAGCTAAAGGTCCCAAACCCAGGTTTCTGGTTTAACACACAGTGGAACATCCAGTCAAAAAAACATTTTGTCATCACAGAAAACCACATAGGACGGCCGATGTGATGAAAAGATGCTGTGTACCAATGAATCAAAGAATCTACCAAACGGAGTGTGCACGGACTCCATTTCTGTTTCTATGTCAACACGCGGAGGGCTGTCCCAGAGGCTCTCCCCACTCTGCATCTACAGTGGTTATTTCCAGGTGCAGAACTCGGATGCCTCATTTCCTTTCAACTTCGGGGTCTAGTTTTTCTAAAATAAGCAAGTATTACTTTTGCAGTAAGGAAGAAATAAACATTTTTTAAAAGGTTGCTTTATACTGATGACTTTTAGAACAGTTTACAGTTTTCCAAAGGGAAGGAATACTTCTGAGAATTCCGTTCTCACTCACGAAAGTGGACATTTTAAGCTGCAGTGTAGCAAAACTGCACGCAGACACAGGAGAGTCCGCGAGTCCATTTAAGAACGGAACACACCCGGGCAACAGCATAGATTGTCTCATCACGCACGCACGCTGCCAGCCCGGGCGCCTCCTTCTGTTCCGCCTGCGTGGAATCCGGGAACTGAACATTTCCTTTCAGATAATGTCCGTCTTTCTTTTTTTACAGCAGTAATAGCTGTAATAAATGCAAGCCACAGGGAAGTGCAGGAGTCTCTATACGGCCATTCATTTAACAGATAATGTTGTGCACCTATGAAGTGTTTTACTCACTCTGACACCAAACGTGCAGTGTCTTTTCCAACACTCCTGCGACTCTCTGACACCAGCTGGGTGTTTCTCCTTCACGTCAGCTCTGACACCATCTACCTGGCTTTAGCCTCAGATCCCACAAGGACGGGCTTGTCCCACAAGACAGCCCCCACCTCGGATGACAGTTTGAAGTCCAGGGTGTCACCGGTACTTCTGAGCAACCAGCTCCCATAACCTCCCCTCCGGTTTGAAAATCTGCCAGAATGGCTCACAGAACTCAGGAAGGCAATTCACTTGTTATCACCAGTCTATTATAAAGGATGGAACTCGTGAACAGCCACACGGAAGAGAAGCACAGGGTAGGGCAGGTGCATGGGGGCACTCGGAGACTCCAAGCTGAAACCCTCGGCACCTTGGTGCGCTCCCCAACCCGGGAGCCCCATCTCCTTGGCGTTTTCACGGAGGGGTCATCACGTAAGCACAATTGATCGAAGCACTGTCCACTGGTGATCGGCCTGATCTCCAGCCCCCCTCTCCTCCTGGAGGCTGGGGGTGGGACTGCAAGTTCCAACCCTCCAATTCCGCCTTGGTCTTTCTGGCGACCAGCCCCAGCCTGAAGCCATCCAGGGACCCCCAACCCCCAGGTATCTCACTGGCATAAAAGACACTGATCACTGTGCAGATTCCAAGGGTCTCAGGAGCTGTGAGCCAGGACCAGGGACTGAGACCGGCATCAGGTATGGGGACCATGGCTGTGGACGAGACAGACACACCCCTGCACTGAAGGAGGTCAAAACTGACATTCTAGCCGAGGCAGCGTGGTCACGTGGGAAGGGAATGGTGTATACAGTGAAAAAAATATTAAAAAGGAAACAAAGGAGCAAGATAACCTCAGGTAGTACTGAATGCGGCGAACACATGCTAAAACTGGGTCACGGGGCACAGAGCTGTGGGCTGAGGGGAAGA